ACGTTGAATAGATGCAGCACAGTGCAATTCAGCCCTCCCCAGTCCATAGGGCCCCTTCCTGTAGAAATATTTAAGTAATCCATGGTGACCTGCTTTGCAGTGGCCACTTCTACAGCCCCATCTGTGTTAGGACCTCAAAGCACTTCTCCAAGCATTTGAGTGATGCTTGGCTTCACCTGGTGAGATCAAGGTGGGGTTTACCCTTGTGAACCAATTTGGGGTGGTTTGAATGCAAACTGCATGAATGCTGCAAGAGGCGCAGCTCTTCTCCTGGGTTTTGTAGAAGGGGAAGGTAGAACAAAGGCTGGTGTAGGACGTGGGAACCCTGGCTCGTATGCTAGCTGCTGGGCAGATCATTTTGCCCGGCTTCTTTCACGAACTCCAAAATTGCTAGCAAAGGGTTTCATCGGCTGTTTTATTTTCCTAGGAGCTAGTCTTTGGTGGGTAACTTCTTTCTCTTGGGAGTGGGTCACTGATGTGCTGACTGAAACAGGATGTCATCCAAAGCTATCTGCTTATACCATGTCCATCACCATGGCAATCTGGGTGCTAAATAACTCAGCAGAGGCAGTAAAGCAGCCTTCCTTTGATAGGGCTGTGGGGGAAAGGAGAAGCCTGTGTTGTGAGAGCAAAAAGGCTTTTGATTTGCTGGGTTGTATTACTTACCTGCCTCTCATTATCTAATGTTACTGGCTGAGTGAGTGGACCTGTTACAGTATAGGCAAACTGGGGCCCCGTTCAGCAAAGCACTGAAGCAAGTGCTTAAGCCTCACAATGTTAAGCATGGACTTCAGGCAGGGATTTCCAAAGTTGCCTAAGGGGTTTAGGTGCCCTTCTCCCATTGAGATCCAGCTTCCCTTTTAAGCTCCTCACGCAGGTTCTGACTGTAAGTGATTTATCAGTAGAGATCAAACCATAAGCATAGGTTTTGAAGCAAGGCATGTGGTCCGGCTCTTTACTGAATTGAGGCCCTCTTTACTACACAGCTGTGAGTTGAATTAATAGTTAAAGTACACAGAGGTTTGTGGGTTGTTCCCCATGCATGGAATTCTGAATCGAAACAAATGGCTTCTATACAACATGGGGACTAACAGGAAGGGTGATGCTTGCTGTGTGTCGGGGTCCTATGTCTGGCTAGAGTCGAGGAGCAGACCAAACCTGCCTGAAAGAACTGAACCCTGGCAGCCACTTGCATGAAATGTCAAGTCCTCATCAACAGAAGGCCACAACCTCAGTCGCTTCCTTCCTCATCACTCGCACAGGAAGGTCCAAAGCAAGCAGCAAGAATAGGCCTCCCAGCTGCCCCTTCCTGACTTGGTTGCTGGCCGCGGATGCTGTGAAAAGAGAGTAGGGGCAGTGCAGGGTCGTGACTAAAGGCTGCCTTTGGTCAGCGCGTGTGACAGCTCCTCTGCCAGAGACATCCGGTGGTGGGGGAGGAGGGCTGCCCTGCTGCTTTAATTATGAATGGCTGGGTTAAGCAAAAGCATCGATCCGCTCTTCTGTATCTGCAGCTAATCAATGCAGCACATCCCCTGTCTCCCTGCACAGAGCGTTTCAGGGCTGGGCCGCGCCTGGCTGTGCACCTCTGTCTCTGGGATTACATTTGTGCAGGAAATCATAACATCCCCTTGTTCCTGGAAAGAAGGTGAGGGCAGCAGCTTCCTGCTGCAAGTAGGATTCATCTCTGAGCATCTGTCACTTGCACCCTGTCAGCCCTTCCTAGCTGCTGTCTCCTTTGCAAGGAAGGGAACCTGATATTGAGAGCGAGCATGGTCTGTGGGGGACTGAGCATGGAGCCAGAAGGCTGTGTTCCCAGGTTGTATTTGATTGTTGCATACTCCCTTGAGCAATCCATACAGCCCTTCTCTGTCTCAGTTTCCCACATGCAGAGCTGGGATATTACACCCTAGGAACTCTGAGTGAGCAGACTACAGACAGCTGTTGGGCCACAGAGCACTTGTTGCTTTCGTCCGTAGGCTCAAAGCCAGGCCCTGTGGTGACTTTCTGCCTGTGAACATGAAAGTTTGGCCTGTGTTTCTGCTAACCTTGACTCTACTTGGCAGCTTCCTCGAGGAAGTTTTGGCTTCTGGGTTCCGTGGCCGGAGCGGCGAGAGCTCTCATGTTACGCCGAGGTCAAGCAGCAGACGGTGAACCCAGGAGGGAAGAGCACCGTTTCCCGTCTCGCCCGTCCGCCACTTCCTCAGACTGACCACGTGTTTGACAGCAGAGCTGGAGACTCCTACTGTCCATCCTGCTGCCAGCTTGGTTATTCCCATCCACCAGGACATGGGGAGGGACTCTTAACATGTGCATAAAGCCTTTAGGAAGTGAATGACGTGGGCCTCAGACCTGGGGCTTGCATGAAACGCAGCACTCTCATTGCCTCTGCCGTGAGTCCTGGACCAACACATGGATGGATAACCAGGATTTTGGCTTGAGATGGGACTTCACAGCCTCTCTCCCACTGGTGCTGGGGCAGCTGGGTTTAACACCTTTGAAAATTAGCTCCTTCTCTGTCCGTTAGCAAGCACATAATTAGCCTGCTGCAGAGTCCACCAGTGTGTGTGTGTGTGTGTGTGTGTGTGTGTGTGTTGGTTCCTCCAACAGGAAGCCAGCTGTGATGGACACTGGTAGCCTTGTCTGTATATTTTGATGCTTATTAAATGCCCCTCTTGAACCAAATTTCTATTGTCTTTTAAATGATTCCCTATTTAATCTCTTTTTTTTTTTTTTTTCCCCCTTCCCTTCAGAACATCACTGAAATCCACTTGCAAGTTGGCCCTGCTTTTCAAAGTTCCACATCCCCTGGAAAGCAACACTGTTGTCTGTCTCTGTCCCTCCTTTTTCCCCCACCTTTCCTTTCTGTTCCATAAAAGCCTATATGAATCCAATAATACACGGGTGCTCTGGCTGCAGTGAGTGTTTTGGAGTTGATAGACTGGAAAGCATGGGGGACTTGAAGTGTAGACCCACAGCACTGGATGTGCTAGGTTTCTGATCACAGCACTGGGAGCCAGGCTATAGTGAGCATTACCTCTGGTTTTGAAGTTGGTATGGAACCAAATTAATTGCTTCTCTGCCTCTACTTCTCCATCTGTGAGATGCTGGGTAAGAGCAAGGATCTGACCAGCTTTGGTGTCTATGCTGGTAGAGGATTATTACCTCCATGGTTACCCTGTAGCTTATCCCTCTGGTATGAGAAGGCACCTGAAGCTCCCCTTTTGTTCTGCGTGCAAATTCCTGCAGCCTGGAGCTGGGGAAAAACTGGACCTTGGGCACATTGAAATCAGAGACCAAGGCTACAACTCCTTCCCTCTTAAGAGATGCAGGCCAGAATCCTTTCAGTGCCACTGTGAGGCTGGCATAGGCATGCCATTCCAGCTCTAACTTGCTGCCAGAGTCCAGGTATCCATAAGGAAAATCTTGGAACCAGCTCTCCTGGAAGCCAACCGGTGAGATCTTAGAAGTAAAGTCCTAGATCCAAGTTAAAACCAAGACAGTACTCAATGCAATGATCTATGCTGGCTCCTGCTGTGGTCCCCAGAGCAGCTCCAGAGGTGCAGGGTGATGCATCCCCTTGAGTATGTTGTATCCCTTGGAGCTAATGTCCCAGGGGAGATGAGCACTATGTTGCAAAGGTCAGTGTGGAGGCCACCGGCAGCTGATGCCACCATGACAGTGCCCCTTGCCATTCCATCTCCTCTTGGCCTAGGAGCTGCCAGCCTGTCTGTGGCTCTCATGCAGCATGGGTCACAAGGGACAGCCCCACAGCAGGGTCTGTTTTTCAGAGCCAGCAGCTTGGCAGGTAGGATTTCTCCTCCACAGCCAACGTGAGGTAGAGTCCCGCAGATGTGAAACATGAGCTTGCATCGTTTTTTCTCTTCTGGAGGGGGATCCTCACATGAATTGGTTGATTATTCAAGCACTGGAGACTTCTGTAAGGCAGCCTGGTCTGGGGTGGTTAGGACCAGGAGCCAGGACTGCTGGGTTCTCGTTCCAGACCTAGGAGGGAATGGTATAGGGGATAGACAGGGGGGTGGGAGCCAGGGCTCCTGAGTTCTCTCCTCCTCTCTGTACAGAGAAAATGCATAATTTCCTGGAGGTCCCTTCCCCCTGCCTGCAGTTGACTTTTCTCCACGATTAATGGGAACACCTATTCTGCCCAGCCTCCCAGAGGGCTCCAAGCAATAGCTCATGTGCTGCTGTGGACGGAGGGTACTTGAATTCCCAGTCGGTCATCTGGTGAGGAACATTCTCATCTTGGAAAACTTGAGTCTGGCTTTCATCCATCCTCCAAGCAGTGTCCGAGAGCTGACGGGTAATACATATGCCGCAGAGCCGTTCCATGACTTGCGTGAGAACTGCTCAGGGCTCCCACACCGCTGCCCTTGAGCATTTCCTTCCTGGTCTGTGACCTTCTTGCGTATTGTTGTTAGTGGCGTTAAGGGGATTGGCACAATTTCTGCTCCATTGCCGTAATCCTAGAGGCTTGGGTTTCTAGGAAGTGGACGCTGTTTACCCTGCCATTCCCTACAGCAATAATGCCCTGTGTAACATGACAGCCCGTATCAGACAATGGAGTTCAAAGGTGGGGCTGCCACTGTTGCAGGAGAGAGATTGTATGAAACAAGATTTCCAGGCTAGATTGGATATAGCTGGGAGGCTGGAACCTTATCGAGCAGCTTCGCTCCATCACAAAGAGCTGCACATTGTAAGAAATTGCATTCCCTGGACCAACACCTCTGTGGTAACTTAAGACAATCTAACCACTTGCTCTGCTATATCAACCCCTCCGGAGCCAGCACTAGCCCTAAGTGGGGTGTTTTTTGCTGTCTCTTCCACATGCAGTTTTTTTAGATGCAGGCAATTCATGGGCTGAGTGAACCCCACATGAGATCTCCTGGACCCCCCACAACTATCAAACCATATTTTCCCCCCAATATGGAAAGGGAGGAGCTTGTTGGGACCTGGTCTTGAATTGGAGCTAGTGCCCTGTAAAGTTGCCTCCTGAGTGACTGAAGCATCTTGGCAAACATTCAGCTGGGTTTAAGTGCAGCCCAGCCACAGGGCATGGGCTTGAGCAGCAAGGGCCAAACTTTTTGGCAGGCACGCCACAATTTAACCCTCCCTCCTCTGAGTGCTGTTCCAATCCTTTTCCCCTACCCCATCTGCTGCTCAGCTTTCTGTTCTCTGGCCAAGCTGTTGTTCTGCTGTCTGCTTCATGTCCTATGCTCCCTGCTTGCTCTGCTTTCATAGATTGTAAGGCTGGAAGGGATCTTGGAAGATCATCGGGTCCAGCCCCCTGCACCGAGCAGGAAAGATAACTGGGGGTCAGGTGATCCCAGCACGGTGACTGTCCAGTCTCCTCTTGAAGATTTCCAGAGTAGGCGATTGCACCACCTCTGGAGGGAGCTTATTCCACAGTCTGGACACCCTGACTGGAGAAGTTTTTCCTAATGTTAAGCCTGAATTGATCTTCCAGGAGTTTGTGGCCATTACTCCCGGTTTTCCCCTCGAGTGTCCTGGTGAATAGTTGCTCACCGAGACCTTGATGTACTCCCCTAGCGTAGCAGTAAGCTGCTACCAGGTCCCCTCTCAGCCTTTCCTCATACGGCTTGTCGTGTAAGACTCTGATCATATGTGTGGTTCTTCTTTGGACTCTCCCAAGCTTGTTAAAGTGCGGTGCCCAGAGCCGAACGCAGTACTCCAGCTGTGGTTTCACCAGTGCTGAGCAGAGCGGAAGAATCACTTCCTGGATTTTGCTGGAGATACATTGATTGATGCATGCCAGAGTATTATTTACCCTACTGGCTATGGCATTGCACTGCTGGCTCTTATTCATACCGTGGTCTATTATTACCCCCAGGTCCCTTTCGTTAGTGGTGTTAGTCGGTTTGGTGCCGGTGTGCTGGAGGTTGCTCGTCCCCAGGTGGAGCACTTTCCATTTCTCAACGTTGAACTTAATCGGGTTCTGATCCGCCCAGCTTGCCAGCCTGTCTAGGTCCGCCTGTAACTGTAGCCTATCTTCAAGTGTGACCGTGCTCCCCCATAACTTGTTGTCTGCAAACATAGCCAGCGAGCTCTTCACCCCCACATCTAAATCGATAATAAAGATGTTGAAAAGTACTGGACTGAGCATCAACCCCTGCAGGACGCTACTGCCCACTTCTCGCCAGGATGACCCAGGATCCTCATCAGGATTCACTACGACTGTCTGGGTCCTATCCTGCAGCCAGTTTCTCACCCACCTGTCTATTTGTATCTTCCATATTAACATGGGCCTTAAGGCCCACCCAGCTAACGAATAGCCCCTTTGTGGGGCCAAAGGGTGAAAGATGCAGCTAATTTCTTGGGACAACAGAAGCAAAAACAGGATAGGAGTGACATGGGGGTCAAAATGTGAAAATAAGTTCTCCAGAGGGGGACGCTGAGCACAGCCCACTGGTCCTCAAAGGCATCCAAGGAGCCGATGGACGCTGCCCACTGGTCCTCTGCCCAGAGACATGCATGGACAAGTGAGAGGAAAGCAGACCTGTTCTCACCCACCTGACTGGGAGTTAAGCCCACAATCCTCCAATTTTCTCACGAGGACATAGTGGGATACTAGATCAAAGGCCTTTTGGACATCTAGGTTTACAGTGTCAACCTGCTGTCTCGTGTCCAGATGGCAAGTTACTTGGTCATAGAAGGAGATGAGGTTGGTAAGGCAAGACCTGCCTGTGATGAAGCCATGCTGGCTGCCATTCAGAATCGTTCCTTGATAAACTTTTTTCTAGGATTTTCCCTCAGATGGAAGTTAGACTGATTGGCCTATAGTTACCTGGGTCCTCCCTCCTTTCCTTGTGGATGGGCACAACATTGGCCCTCTTCCAGTCCTCAGGGACCTCTCTGGAGCACCATGAATTGTGGAAGAGTTTTGCCAGGGGCTCCGCAATGACTTCAGTGAGCTCCTTCAGCACTCTCGGATGGAGATCATCCGGTCCTGCTGACTTGTATACATCTAATTTTATTAATTGGTCATGCACCAATTCTACAACGATAGTAGAAGGCGATTATTCCTACCGTGCTCATCCTCTACTCTACCTGGTGATTATTTCTACTGTGGTCATCCTCTATTCTACCTACCTTTCTGCTCCCCGCCTGATTTGCCACTGAGCTGCCTGTCCCCTCCTCAGCCTTCCACGTGCCACATACAGAGGCCACGTGTGCCACTTGTACTGCCTATCCCGCAAGTCTGGGGTAGGTCATGGCAGTGGCTAGGTTTTTGCTGTTTTATCCATCTCATTTGCAAGTCCTCCTAGCCTTGGTATCCCAGTAGGCAGCAGTGCAGTACCACTTGCCTGTGGGCAATTCAAGCCACTTCTTAAGAACAAGAGATGAAATCCAGAGGCTTGTCATCCCTGCTGGCCCATCCACAAAGAAGTCCCTGGAGCTCCTGCTCACACACTCCTGTGCAGCTGGGAGTGCGATTTCCTGCTTGAAAAAGAGGAGACGCTGCCTGACTGAGCTGTGGATTTTGCTGCTTTGCAAACATTGAACAAACATTAAACCCTGGCGAGTTCCAGTAAAACACACTCCTATTCTTGCTTTAAAAACTCCAAGGGTAAAGCGGCTCCAGGGATTGCTGCTAAACTCTTACCCTATATTTCTGTCTTGAATTTCTCTAGCTTCTGCTTCCAGCTGCTGGATCTCACCTTGCTTT